GGGGCTGCCCCAGCCATGTTGATGGTCGGAGCCAGGGCGGCCATCTCTGTTCTTGGCAGCGTAGGCTGCTTTATCAGCCCCACCTTCAGCTTTTTATCCCTTTTGAACCTGTATCGTTGTGATATTATTACTGGCTGGCTCTTTTAGAGCTTTTATATCAACTGGGTTTTAGTTTCCACCTCTCCCTGCTTTCCTGTTCCCTTTCTCCCTTCAGTTTTTCCCTCACTTTCTTCCTTGCTGCCACCACCACCATTATATTATTATTATTATTTTATTTCTAATTATTTTATTTTGGCATCAGTCCTGTAGAAGTTTGAAAGGACCTTTTTTTAAAAAAAATTACTTTCCTTTTTTTTTTTCTTTTTTTTTTTTTTTTTTTAATACTGTGATACTGTTGTGTGGTCGTGTGACTTGATGTTTGTACTGCAATTTGGTATACCAAGCTTTATTAAACATATCGAGTTCATTTTTAACTAAACCTGTGTACCTTGTCTCTCTTGCTGTGTCTCTTATCAGGCGATTAGGTTGCTGCTTCACTTCATCCTGCTCTGCATCCCCCTCCTGCTCCCACTCCCCATGAGTAGAACTGGAATTAACCTAGTCTGGGGTACTCTCTATTATTCAAATATCCCTGCTGCCTTTGTCAAGATAAAGCCTAGACCTTCCAACCCCCCCATCCCTTTAGTTTTTTTTATTTTGTTGACCTATTTTTGCTTCTTTCTTTTTCAGTTTGTTTCTACTTTTGATACAGCCTCTTGAGGCAGGCAGATAAAAAGTGGAGGGACTTGATTCTTGTTGCTGCAGGAGGGTGTAAGGTTCCCATTATTAAACAGCCAGATATTTTGCTTTTTCACTTTAAAAAACATATAAAGCAGACTTTTGCATCTCTTTTTGGGTAGTAATTTTTTCAGATGCTGAGACATAACCCACGGTGTTTAAGGATGTGGCAATTACTGCATTAAATTTGACTCTGCAGTTTCCCTCTCTCACCCCATTTTTACTTTTTTTTTGCAGCTTTCTTTTGTCAGCTTGTCATTAGCACTTCAGTGGGAAAAGAGATTACTTGAGACTTTTCCTCCAGAGACACAAGGGGTTTCTGTTTTAGAGCACCCTCATTAAATAATAATCATGGGGAAAGGTCATTTTAATGAGCCCTCAGCTCCCAAAAGAAAGTAGTTGGTCTGGGCTGAATGCTAAGGAAGAGCATCCCCAGTTGTTATCATCTAAGTTACATGGAGATCTGGATGTAGCTCAGCAAAAGCCTCTCAGTATTTCTCAGTGCTCAGAGGGCTGCTAATTGAAAATGAGGCTGGATAGTTTTGCTTTTGTTTTGCTTTTGTTTTGCTTTTGTTTTGCTTTTTTTTTTTTTTCTGAATTTTTTTATCTTGGTTTCCTCCTGTTTATTTGTGCACCTGTTTATTTTTTTCTTCCCTCCAAACCCAACCTCCAAAGAAATACAATTTAATCTAAAACCAAAAATAAAATAAACAAACACAGCAGAAAGATACAGAAGATTGATTTGGTTTGATGTGGCTCTGGGCTGGACCCACAAATCCATTTCAAAGAAAATAAAAATGAGAGAAATATATGTTTTAAAAAAATTTAAATATGTATATATTCTTTAGAGAACCCAAAGAATTCTGGGGATAGTGGATTTTATGTAAGAGTGAGTTTGCCACATTTCCATGAAGAGTCTGCGTTAACTTCCATTCTTCCCTTCCCTGTTCCTTCCTGCATCTTTTCTTTGTTTATTTTGCTGCTGTTGGAAATTTTGAGGATATCAATCCCTTTTAGGTGCCAAGTTCTTGAGGTTTTTTTTGCGTTTGCTTTTTGGTTTGGCTCCAGGGAAGCAGATAGGTAACTTGTCCCTAATTGGCTTTGTCTCTTTTTGAAGTAACTTGTCTGCTTAAAATAAAAAGTGAATAAAATCCCAGTTTTATGGGATAAAATCTGGGGAGGGGAGGGGGTATGGGAGGAGGTTGGGGAATTTGGAACAAATGGGAAAATGCAGTGTCAATCCCTCTGGGGTGTCATTTAATGGGGGGGAAACCAAAGATGCAAAACCTCCTGGGGTGGGAGGTGGGCATGGAGGGGGAGGTGGGGAGGGGTTATTGGTTACAATTTTGGGGTTTTTCTCAGCAAATGATTTTTTATTATTATTTTTAAATGGTTCTTTCTCAGAAGCATTACTTGAAGGGATATTTGGGTAATAGGGTTTCTAATGGCTTTCCCTGATACTAAACCGATTAATAACCTCAGCTTTTCTAGAAGTGCTGGCTTTCTCCTCGCAGCTGCTTGACCAACCCTTTCACCCCTGCCCCTATCCATGATGCTTTGAATGTCTGTGTCGGTCTCTTGCATTTGCTCTCACGCTGCACTAAAGAAGCAAAGTGGTTGGCTGGTTGTAGGGCAGACACTTCTCAGCGAGGGTCACTAGCCATGAACCTGAACCTTGACCATTGTTATGTAGGTAGGCAAAATAACTTTTCTTTATGTCATCTGTCAGCCTCAGATATTTCGGTGTTGCCTCCATGAATAATGACACGTAGCTCTTTGCATTCTCTTG